AAGGACTGATCTCGTCTTGCAATATGTCTGTCCAAAGTATGTCAGACGAAGCTTCAGAATCCTTGCCTCCAAGGAGCAGGCTGGCTTCACCCTCTCCAGGATGAACTTGTTTGTTCTCCTAGCAGTCCATGCTATATTTAATGCTCTTCTCCAGCACCAAAGCATCAAAGCATTATCAAAGGCATCAACTCTCCTTCTATCATCCCTAGTGACTGTCCAGCTCTCTGGACAAATCATTGTTGTTGTGTGCCATTGAGTTGGGACTGACCCATGGCTGACACTTCTTTGGGGTTTCAGAGGCAGTTAATCATAGAGGAGGAGATTGCTCATCCTTCTCCCACAGAGCAGCTGCTGGATTCAAACTACATGCCTTTGGGATTGCAGCACAGCTTCTTGCAATTAGGCTACCAGTGCTCCCCACTGGGGATTGTAATGATATTGTTTGATAATGTCCACATTCCGTTGGATCATCTTTTTTGAGATTAGGAACAAATATGGATATCTTCCAGTCTGTTTGGCCTGGTAGCTCTCTTTCAAATTCCTGGGCATAGCCTGGTGAACATCTGTCTACTGAAACATACCAATTGGTATTCCTTAAATTCCTGGAGCCTTCCCCCTTCCCCATTTATTCCCTACAGCTTGGACCTCTTCCTTCATCACCATTGGTTCTTGATCATAAGCAACTTTCTGAAATGGTTTGATGTCAGGTAATTCTTTTTGGTACACTGACTCCCTATATTCCTTCCATCTTCTTTTGATGTTTCTTGGATCATTCAGGACTATGCTCATCTTTCAGCATTGCAAGTCAAGGCTTGAAGTTGTTTTCAGTTCTTTCAACCTTGAGAAATGCCAAATGAATTCTTCTTTGTTTGTTTTCTAACTCCAGCTCTTTGAACACATCATTAGAATACTTAGCTTTGTCTTTTCAAGATGCTCTTTGAAATCTCCTATCCATTTCCTTCACTCCAGCAATGCTTTCCTTTGTCTGGACCTCACCAGATACTCTAGTGCAGTTCTCAGAGTCTCTTGTGACCTTTATGTTGGTCTTTTCTTTTACCCTATCTTTGTAAAGACCTATGTTTTTCTTTATGGATAATATCCTTGATATCATCTTACAACTCATCTGGACTTTGGTTATTAGTATTTAGTACCTCAAACCTATTCTTGAAATGGTTTTCAAATTCAGGTGGGATAGACTCAAGATTACATGTTTGTTCTTATGGATTTGTATTCATTTTCTTCTGCTTCAATTTGGACTTTCATATGAGCAATAACTGAGATAGAGGGAACTCTGAGGACTTAGTGGTATGGAGTTGTGCTGTCAACACAAAGGCACACAGTTTTGATCCATTAGCTACTTCTTGGGAGAAAGATGGGCAATCTTCTCCCTTGCAATAACCAACCTCTGAAGTGTGCATGTGAGGGTTCTTGTGGATTTGTTTTTGTCTTCTTCAGCAATTGATGGATTTTTTTTCCCTACGGTCAGCATCTGGCCTGGTTTTGGTTGCTGTTTTGAGCTTTTCCAGTGATTTTTTTTTCACTAATGTGGTCAATCTCATTCCTGCACAATTCATCAGATGAGGTCCATGTTGTCACTTTGGTTTTTTTTTTTTTAAAAAGTACTTGCAATGAATAAAACATTGGTTATACAAAATTCAATTATTCTATCTTTGGCCTTATTTCTATTACCAAACCCATAATTTCCAACTAGCAGAGCATCCTAAAACTGCTTTACTAAGACATAATTTACACTCCATAAAAAATTCACCAATTTTACAATTTTAAACTATTTAAAAAGTTTATAGGCATTTACTCACTCACTAATAAGTTTATAGGTATCTATTGGAAGCAGGAGTGGCATCCACTTCCTAAACAACATGTCTCTGGAAACTCTATGAACTTCAAAAAATGTTGAGAGTTTTAGAGGGGTTAAGGCCTTTTGTTCATAGGGTCACTATGAGTCATGCTTGACTCGAAGGCAATCAACAACAACAACAACATAGGTATTTATAGCACAATCCAGTTTGGATATCCTCTAATGCCTCCTCCCCAAAAGTTCACCTGTGCTTGGCTGAACTTCTGTCCTAGGCAACTACTGATTTGCTTTCTGTCTTTGTAAATGTATCTTTTCTGGACATTCTATACTGGGTTTGAAGTTCATCCATGCTGTAACATATTATCAGTAGATCATTCTTTTCTGTTGCTGAATGATATTCCATTTTATTAATAGATCATTCTTTATTTATCCATCAACTAGTTGATAGGCATTTAGATAATTTCTCCTACTTGACTATAAAGAATAATGTAATGAATATTCCCACATATATTTTATGTGTACATATGGTTTCATTCATCTCGGGTAAATCCATAAGTATAGAATTCCTCAGTTGTATGGCAACTTTGGTTTATTATGTAGGAAACTGCCAAATTATTTTATCCCAAAGTGCTTGTACCATAGTACATTTCCACCAGCATAGTATGAAAGTCCTAGTTGCTTTACATCTCTGTCAGTATTTCAGTATTTGGTATTATAATGATCCTTTCTTATTATAGTCATCCTCGTGGGTGTCTTGTGATATAGTGTGTGGTGTTCATTTGCATTTCTCTGATGACTAATGCTGCTAAATATCTTGTCATAACCTATTAGTCATTCATGTATTTTCTTTGTTAAACTGTCCACTCAAATCTCTTGTCTATGCTTCAGTTGGGCTGTCTTCTTATTAATGAGTTATAAGTCCCTTTTATTTGGTAGGTAAAATGTTTTTTAATCAAATATATGATTTGCAAATATTTTAACTATCATATTACTTTCTTAGCAATGTCTTTTGAAGTATAAAAGGTTTTATATTTTTATGATGTTCTGTTTCTTCACTATTTTTCTTTTATGTGCTTTTGATACTGTATCTGAAACCTTTTTGCCTAACCCAAGGTCATCAAGGTTTTCTCCTACAAAAGTTATATTTTAACATTTATATGATCCATTTGAATTAATTTTTGTATATGCTTTAAGAATCTAAATAGATTATTTATTGCAGGTGGATATAAAATTTGTGGGGGGAACTTTCTTTTCCCCATTGAGTTATTTTGGCACCTTTGCAAACTATTAATGATCATATACTTAAGGCTTTATTCAGAGATCTCAATTTTGTCTCATGCAGCTACATCCTAATCCTTCATGTAATGCGCACTATCTTGATTATTGTGGATTAATAGCGAGTTTTGAATTGAAAGATATAAGTCTTCTAACTTGGTTCTTCATTTACAATTTTTCTTAGATATTCTAGGTCATTTTTATTTCCATATACACTTTAGAATAGGTTTGTTAATTTCTACCAAAAAGCTTACTGGGATTTTAATAGGAACTGGTAGTGAAAATAACGATTAACTGAGGAAAATTTTCCGTCTGGATTTTAAAGATGAGCTCCAGTCTGACTGTATTCAGTCTTTTAATTCATAAACTCAGAATTTAAATCTTCTTTAGTTTTATCTCTCAATAATGCTTTATTATTTTTGTTATACAAAAGTTGTAAAGTTGTATTTTATTTGTTAATTTTATATTTCTTGTATGCAGGGATTCTATCTGTCAGGGTCAACGCAGCAATTAGTTTCTCTTTTGAACACTTGATTGTAGTTAGGGTGAAAGTTGAAATGTTGTTGTTGGTAAGTGCCATTGAGTTGAGCATGACTCATAGCAACCCCATGAACAAAGGACTTTAACCTTGTTCCTTATTTTGTTATTTCTCTAAGTTCATAGAGTTTCTGGAGGTATGTTGGTTAAGAAGTGGATGTCCTGCTTCCAAGCCTTTCTTAAAGTGGAAGCTCCACCAAACACTGTCCAACATTGGGTAAACATTATGGCATTTGACACAACAGTGGCACAGTGTTCAGCACCATATAGCAAGTTAATATTCTAGCCAGCAATTTTTACACACTTTGAGTCGCAATCTCTTCAGTGTAACAACACTCTTTCCACTTTCTCCTTGAGTTTTGCATTTCTGTTTGTCTTTCTTTTCTGACTCTTCCTGTCTTCTGAGTTTTGTTCTTTGAGGTAAATGCTGCCCTTGTGGTCCTGGTAGGGCTGCTTAGCCAGGAGGTGTGCCCCCCATGGATGTTAATGTTTACTTTATAGTCCTTTCTATTGTCTGACTGAAAATGTTCCCTGAGTGTGTGTTGAGTCCCAGGTCTGAAGGTCGTCAAAGAGCCAAAATCTCAGGGGTTCCTCCAGTCTGCGTAAGGTGGCCCTGATACAGGACATGGTCTTTTTAATCACTTGTTATGTGTCAGAGAGCTGGACAATGACTAGGGAGGATAGAAGGAGAATTGATGCCTTTCAGCTGTGATGTTGGAGAAGAATATTGAATATACCATGGACTGCTAAGAAAATGAACAGGTTCTATCTGGAGACATTTAAACCAGGCTGCTCCTTGGAGGCAAGGATTCTGAAGCTTGGTCTGACATGCTTTGGACATGTTGAAAGGAAGGATCAGTCCTTGGAGAGGGACATCATGCTTGGGATGGTGGAGGGACAGCGGACCCTCTATGAGGTGGATTGATTCAGTTACTGGGGTAATCAGGGTAGGTGTGCTGGAGACAGATTGGCGCAGGATAGAGCAGGGTCTGGGGCCATTGTATATAGGGTCGCTATGAGTTGCAGGCAACTTGACGGCACATAACAACATCAATAACAACAACATCAGCCACAGCCATGCTTGTGGGTGAAGGAGACTGTCTCAGTGTAAGCTGATCTGTCATTGGCACTATTTTTTGCCAAGAGTTGGGGATAGGGAGTGGAGGAAAGAAGGAAATAACAGAAAGGGCGGGGGGGGGGAGGATCTAAAGTGATGGGAAGAGAAGGAGATGGGGAGAAGACAGTAAACTTCTGCAATCATTGTTCTCACAGAATTCCTCTTACTTAACTGACCATCACTTTACTTATGAAAAAGAGGCAAGATTATCACAATGAGTAAATCTGTCGTAACATAAGTAAGCCTGATATTTACCTTCCGAATCCTTGTTGTAGAAAACACCATGTGGATGCAAAGAGTAAGGCCGGGAAGCAAAGTTCTTCAAATGAATGACAATGATATCACCCACTTCAGCTCTCAAGATGGGGCCCAGGAATCCCAGCCAGGATGGTTTGGGGATCTCTGTGGAATAGGTCCCATCTTTGTAGTGTCTGTAAATGGCCTTCTTGTAAATACCTCCTACCCTGTTGGGCCCTCTTTCGAGAAATAAGGTTGCAAGTCTGGAAATAAGAGGAGATATTTCATAATCAGTACTAGAAGAGGAAAAAAAACTCAATATTTTACCATAACAGTTCATAAGTTCTTTTCTATGTGATTATACTAGATTTTACCAGCACTTCAAATCAGTTCATCATGTTTGGCCCTTTGGTGAGAATTTGCATTTCCACCAAGGGTATACCAAATTGGAACTTACATTTGTAAGTTAAGAATCACCTGTGGACCTATAAGGATCACCAAGGGATCTTGTTGAAATGCAAATTCTAATTCAATATATATGGGGTGGAAATGCTAGTTCTCAGCAAGGGATCAAACTAGCAATTCTTGCAAATTACTAATGTTCTTGTATTTACTAATGTGCTTGCCTTGCAAACTACTGATGTGAAAAGTGAAGCTTAGAGAATTAACAAGTCAAAAGACATGCAAATAATATTCATAAACAAACTTGAAAAAATATCCAAACCAACTATTCTAAAGTTACATTACCCATTTTCCCCTTTGCATTCAACACATTCCTCTTCACTTCTTCACTTAATAAACTCTTATTTTTACTTAACCACCCCTTGTGGGGTTGTTGTTGTGTGTACCCTGAGTAGGAATCAACTCACAGGTGACCCTCCTGCAGGCTTTTATAGGCAGTTTAATCACATGGGAGGAGATTACTCATCTTTCTGCCAAGGAGCACCTGGTGGATTTGAAATGGGTGCCTTCAGGATTGCAGTACCGTGTATGATATATTGGACTGTTCACTGAAAGATAAGTTGTTCAAATCCACCATCTACTCTGCAGGGAAAAGGTAGGAAATCTTCAATATAGTAATAATTGGCAACTCTTCCAAAAGCAATCTGCATGTTTAACGCAATCCCAATACAGATACCAAATTTTGTTTTCAAAGAGATAGAAAAGGAAATTGACAAGTTTATTTGGAGAGGAAAGAGAGAGATCTCAAATAAGAAAAGCACTTCTGAAAAACAAGAGTGAAGTGGGAGGCATAGCATTCCTTGATCTCTAAACCTACTACACAGAGGTAATAACCAAAACAGCATGGTACTGGGTACAGTGACAGGCAACATAGATCAATGGAACAGAATTGAGAACCTAGAAATTAATCCGTCTCTCTACAGTGAACTGGTATTTAACAAGGAAACAAAACCTACAAAATTAAGAAATGACAATCGCTTCAGAAATGGTGTTGGCAAAACTGGACTTCCATCTGCTGAAGGAGGATGCACAACTCCCACCATACATAAGAATCAACTAAAGGTGGATCAGAGTCCTAGGGGTAAAGCCCCAAACCATAAAGATCATAAAAGACAACATAGGACCAAGCATAGAAGGCCTAGCTCATGATATAAAAAGGCTGACAAATACAGCCAGAAATACATAAACAGGAAAGGATAACATTGATGAATGAGACCTTCTAAAGAGTAAATCCCTGTGCTTATCAAAAACTGTTTCCAACAGGGTGAAAAGAAAACCTATCAACTGGTAAAAAACATTTGGCAATACAAATTTGGCAAGACAAGTGTCTCATAACAAAAGTTTACAGAGTCCTACAGGGCCTCCACAATAAAAAGACTGATAATCCATTACAAAATGAGCAAGAGATGTGGAAAGACTTTTCACAAAGGAGGACATTCAGATGGCCAACAGATACAGGAAGAAATGTTCAAAATCACTGATGATAAAAGAGATGCAAACCAAAATAAAAATGAGATACCATCTCACCCCAGTAGCAGGGGGTAAGTTTAACAGGCCAGCAAGCAATAAATGTTGGAGAGGATGCAGTGAGATAGGAATGCTTGTATACTGTTGGTGGCATTGTAAATGGCACAACTACTCTGGAAGACAGTTTGGTGCTTCCTCAAAAAGTTGAACATAGAAACTCCATATGACCCAGCTATTCCACTACTAGGAATATACTTCAAGGAAATTAGAACTGAGACACAAATGGAGATTTAGACACAAATGTTCACCGCAATGTTATTCACCATCACAAGAACATGGAAACAGCCCAAATGTCCAACCACCACTGAATGGATTGAGAAATTGTGGCACATTCACACAATGGAATACTATGCAGCACTAAAGAGCAATAATTTAGAAAAAGACTACATAGCTTGAGAGAGTCTGGAGAGCATTATGCTGAGTGAACTAACTCAGTCTCATAAGGACAAATACTGTATAAGAGCATTACTGTGCAAACAGAAAAAAATGGTAAAACATGTACAAGAATCCAAGGTAGGGAGAGTGGAAGCAAAGAGGTGAGGATAGGGAGGGGAGTAATCATCGGGTCAAACTGTTTGGTGGGTGGAGGGAGGCATGAGTAAAGGAAATGAGAAAAACTGGGTGATGATCTGGAAAGACAGGATAATAGTGGGCACAGTTCATTGATATTAATTTTATAAAACATAATGAAGGTGAATTTTGAGTGCCATCAAGTCAGAACTGACCCATAGCTGACCTTCCAGGGGGTTTTCAGAGGCAGTTAATAGCACGGAAGGAGATTGCCCATCCTTCTTTCACAGAGCAGCTGGTGGTCTCGAACTGCATGCCTGAGGGATTGCAGTGCAGCTTTTTGCCACTAGGCCTCCAGAGTTTGTATGTAGGCAATTCAATGGCATATAACAACAACTACAACAATGAAGGTGAATGATTGTATGAAACACAATGTGAATGAAAGATAGTGTGAAACATATTGTATACAAACTTTGTAAGCAAACTAATATAATTATTTTATATAAAAAAAGATAGGCAATCTCATGATGTAAAGACACAGCCTTGGAAAGGTGATCAAGGGCACCATGAAATGTAATCAACTCAACAACAGTGGGTTTGGTTTTGGTTTGAGTATGCAATGAAGTGCAAGAATTATCAAACAATATCACCTGCAAGCAAGATTTTGCTTAAAATTATCCAAAAAAGGACTGAAACAGCATATCAACAGAGAATTGTCAGAAGTTCCAGCTCGGTTTAGAAGAGGCTGTGGCACTTTAAGATATTATAGCTAAAGTTAGATGGATCTTGGCTGAAGGCAGAGAGTACCAGAAGAATGTTTATCTGTGTTTAATTGACTATTCAAAGACATTTGACTGTGTAGATCACAATAAACTGTGGCTAATGCTGAGAAGAATGAGAAACACAGAACACTTGATTGTGCTTACAAGAAACCTATGCTTGGACCAGGAGGCAGTAATCAGAACAGAACAAGGAAACACTGCATGGTTCAAAATTGGGAAGTGTGTACACCAGGGATATGTCCTATCTCCATAACTTTTTGATCTATATGGGAACAGATCATCTAGGAGGCTGTGCTCTATGAGGAGAAATGTGGCATCAAGATTGGAGGAAGATTTATCAACAATCTGCAATATGCAGATGACACAACCTTGCTTGCTGAAACTGAGGAGGACCTGAAGTGCTTGCTGCAGAAGGTAAAGGACTGCATCCTTCAATATGGATTGAAGCTCAACATCAAGAAAACAAAGATTCTCACCAGTGGACCGATTGGCAGCATCATGATAGACAGCAAAGAGATTGAAGTTATTAACGGCTTTGGTTTGCTTGGATCCACAATCTTGGAAGCCTGCTGTCAAGGACATTTCCAGAGTACTGAAAAGCAACAATATAAGTCTGGAGACTAAGATGTGCTTGATCCAGGCCATAGTTTTTGCAATAACTTGCTATGCATCAGAAAGCTGCACAATGACTAGGGATGATAGAAGAAGAATGTCTTTGAGCTGTGGTACTGAAGAAGAGTATTGAATATACCATGGACTGCTAGGATAACTAACAGATTCATTCTGGAGAGAGTGAAACCAGGCTGCTCCTTGGAAGCTTCGTCTGATATACTTTGGTCATGTTGCTAGGAGAGGCCAGTCCTTGGAGAGGGGTAACATGCTTGGGAGGGTGGAGGAACATCGCAGGAGAAGACCCTCGGTGAGATGGATTAATTCGGTGACTGGAGTAATGAAAGTAGGTGTGTCAGAGAAAATAAGATTGACACAAGATGGAACAGGGTTCAGAGCTGTAACAGTATCACTATGAGTCACAAGTAACTCGATGGCACATAACAAGAATAACAATTATGCATTTACCTCATTCTTAGTACTTTGATAGGTGTTGGTGACAAGATTTTGTAGTCTGAAAATGAAAAAGCAAAGGAAATTGTACAAAGTAGTAAATGATTGCATGCCAATCTAGTATAGCAGTTCAGAGAAAAGTAAGATTGATGCTGATGCTAATAAAAAAATATTCCTGGGCAACACAGGAATCAAGACGAAATAGGACTGGTGAATGAAAGGGGAAAAGCAGAACATTTTAAGGAGGGATGTAGCATAAGCACCAAAAAGGAAGATATGCACAAAGTATTTAGGAAAGTAAGTCTGGAATGGGAAGGTGAGAAGTGTGTCAGAACTAGGAGTATTCTTATGTGCAATCCATTTTTTAAATGGGCAAAAGCTGACATTCTAATAGTCAATAACTACATAAAGAAATGCTCGTGGTCATCAATCATGACAGTGGCACAAATAAAACAGTGATGAGATATATTACCCTAGCAATGACAGTAATGAGGGAAACCTCACAGGAAACAATAAAAGCTGTTAAGAGTGGGGGGAGATTGGACCTCATAAACATTGCTGGTAGAATTGTAAAGCAGTACAACCACTATAAGAAATGCTAGAGCACTTCCTTGAAAAGTTAGAAATAGAGATACTGTATGATCTAGCAATGTCAGTCCTACCAAGTATATAATCTAGAGAAATAAGAGCCACGACAGGCATACATACAAACTCATGTTCAGTACAGCATTACTCACAGTAGCAAAGAAAATAATGGAAGGAATCAAAGTGTTCATCAAAAGATGAATGGATAAACAAATGAAAGTACATACACACGATAGAATATTATGTAACTCTTAAGCAAAAATAAATCTGTTCAATATCCCATAATATGGACAAGTCTGGAGAACCCTGTGCTAAGTGAAATAAGCCAACCACAA